TACCCTTTCACAGGGATCGCCTAAGACCATCGGAAAACACATATATAATTACATATTGTTTTTGTGATTAATCACTGTGCTTTCATTACGTTCAATTTGTAACAATGAAAATACATCCTGCATATCAGATATTTACATTAGGATTCATAACAGCAGCAAAATTACAGTTATGAAGTAGCAATGAAAAGAATTTTATGGTTGGGGGTCACCACAACATAAGGAACTGTATTAAAAGGTCACGGCATTAGGAAGGTTGAGAACCACTGACATAGAGCATTTCCATCATTTCAGAAATAATGCATTAATTCGTCTTCCCTGCCAGCCCATTATCCCTATCCCAAACTTAGCCACTTTCTGCTTGCTATTACCATAGGTTGTTGCACATTTTGGGGCTTTATATAAATGAAATCACACAGTGCTATATATGTTCTTTTGTGTTTGACTTCCTTTGTTCAACTTAATGCTTTTCAGATTCATTCATATCGGTGCTTATATCAGTAGTTTATTCCTTTTTCATTGCTAAGTATGAACAGATCATACTTTGTTAGTTTTTGACTATTTTGTACAAAGACTTTTTGTGTGAGTGTGAGTGTGTGTGTGTTTGTGTAGCCTACCTCAGAGCTTGAGTTAAGCTAGGGACATTCCTGTACATATGATATTTTTGTTTTGTTTTGTTAATCCTCACCTGAGGATATTTTTCCATTGATTTTTAGAGAGAGTGGAAAGGAGGGGGAGAGACAGAAACGTTGATGTGAGATAGACACATCGATTGGTTACCTCTCACACTTGCCCCTACTGGGCCAGGGATCAAGCCTGCAACCAAGGTATATGCCCTTGACTGGAATCAAATCCGGAACCCTCAGTGGATAGGGCCAGCAGCAAGGTAACCTACTGGTCGGAGTGTCTATTCCTGGTGGTCAGTGTGCATCATACCTACTGGTTGAATGGTCAAATGGATCGAACAGTCACTTAGGCTCTATATATATATAGAGTCTATATATATAGACTCTAGTCTATATATATAGACTAGAGACCTGGTGCCTGAAATTTGTGGCTGGGTAGGGTCCCTAGACCTGGCCAGCGATTAGGGCCAATCTGTGGGGATGCTTTTAACACATGGTTTTCTTTGAGTTGTCCTCTGGTTTGAATCAGTATCTTGCAGCTGACCATATTCTGGTTTTTGCTTTTTTCGGGTAGGGTGTGGTGGAGGGGAGCTCTGACTGGTCTGACACTGATTCTTCAATTGCTGTCTGCATGCAGCCAGCTCTTCTTTACCTGTGTGAGCTAATCTCTCAGGTCTGCTTCACAGTGAAGTAAATGCCAAACTTCCACTTGTTTGGTATGATATGAAAAGAAATGGAGCATTGTGATTCAAGTATCTGAGGTACCTCATGGAAGACATGTCTGTATTGACAATCAAATGGATCTATAAAAGAAGGTGCTTTAATTTCAAAGACCAGAGTAGCTTGATGATTTCTAAGTAGCAGCAATAGGAGAACTTTTGGTATCCTATATAATAAAAGGGTAATATGCAAATCGACTGAATGGCGGAACGACCAGTCGCTCTGATGTGCACTGACCACCAGGGGGCAGACGCTCAATGCAGAAGCTGCTCCCTGGTTGTCAGTGTACTCCCAAAGGGGGAGTGCCGCTCAGCCAGAAGCCGGGGTCATGGCTCACAGCTGGGGCTGGGGGGAGCTTCTCCCGCTTCTGTGGCAGCTAAGGATGTCCATCAGCCGGACATCCCCCAGGCTCTCGGACTGTGAGAGAGTGCGGACTGGGCTGAGGGGACCCCTGAGCCTGGTCTGGCCCTCATGGTCCAGGCCTCCAGTTTGTAAATAATCAGTTAATGGATTTTTTTCTTACAGTCTTTCTTCTTGAATTTCCAACATACACTTAGAAATAGTTAAAATCTTTGAGACTAAAGATAACGGCTGTTTACATTTAGATTTTTGAAAAAAGGGTTCATATTGTGAAGGCTCATTGAATAATAAATGTAGATGTATATTATATTATAAATACCAGGCTGATAATTCTTTGTGAAAATAATTGGGAGTGGTATTCATTACATAATAGCTCAGTTAGGTTAATTATTCAGTAATGTTAACTAAATGGAAAGTAGTTGAGTATAAGTAAAGATAACTTTTGAATAGTTCAAGGCAATGTTTATAAAATCGATGCACATAAGTCCTTACATGTTATTTGTGGGATGATATAGAAATATTCATGAATTAGGCAATCCCAAAAACAATTAGATATATTAGTTAGGCTTACCCCATAATAAGGCTGTAAGTTAAATGGACATTTTATTTCTCTCACATAAATATCCAGATTGCCAGTCCATGGCTGAGGCAGTGGCTCCTCAGTTGTCAGAGTACCAGGACTCTTCTGTATATTAAAAGAAAAATATAAGTGAAAGGAAAAGATAATCTCTGGTAGTTTAACCAGACATTTTTATTTTTTATTATTATTATTTTTATTGCTTAAAGTATTACAAAAGGTATTACATATGTGTCCCCCCCCGGTAGTTTAACCAGACATTTTAAACAGATAAGGGGAGAATTAGTACACTGGAAGATAAAGCCAAAGAAATGACCAGAATATAGTCTAGAGAAATAAAGAGAAGGAAAATATGAAAGATGTTGCGTATGGAGGGGGAGTGAGTAAATATACTTAAGGAACAGAGATGAGTGCATATTCTAATAATGTTCATTAACAGAATTTTGTGGACAGAAAAGTGATTCTCTGTTATATGTTTGCCATTCTGCTTCATCAGGACTAGAGTGATACAGTAGGAAATATTTTAGGAAAGTATCAACTATTAACTGCTTTTCTCTCCAACATCATTAGGTAAGATGTGATTTTCCCAAGTCTAGAGTCGATTCTATACATAATTCCTGAAGTAAATAGGATATTAGATAAAGAGTTCCTTAGGAAGCTAAAGTATAAGGCATCCATAAAAGTTAATTTGCTAACTCAAAGAATTTTCCTCTAATGTATAATTTTTATCTATGTCTATATAATTTATGTCAGTAAATACTGTTCAAGATTGATTCCATTATAGTTTTTCCAAGGCTTTAGCTTATAGTTGTAGTACACATCTTTCTCTCATTAGTTCATCTTTTGGCATCTATTGGTCCATTATTTTCCTTGTAGGACATATTTTTCCTATGGCCACTACTCTTACCCCTCTCCATGTGGTCTTTAAGGGGCTGCTAGTCATCCTGTATGATATTATGTAATGGACATGTGACTCAAGCCCAGCTTTATGACTTCCTTGGGATTTTATACATGTACATAGAGTTGTCCTTTCTATGTGTGGTTTGCCTGGGATAATGTGAGACTGAAGCCAAGTCCCCTATCACTTAATGAGAGTCGCTAGTGGAAGATTGTGAGGCCAAGCAGATATGTTTATTGAAGATGGGAGGGAAGGAGAGATATAGAAATCAAAAGTGAAAATTTTCACCATTTCGTTAGATTAGTTCTTAAAGTTCCTTGTTATTCTTATTCCTTTAATCTTCCGTTGATAAATGGAAGATTCTGGGGGAAACTTATTAATCACATTTTAGGTTCAACTTCCTTTGAGTTTCAGTCCCCTGTAGACTTTACTAAATTGAATAATCTTGACTGATAAAATACATAATCTTGGTTAGAGCAAAGATGCTTCTCTCTTAAGATGAAAATATCCCTAGTTTGACTAGCACAATAAGCGGCAATCTTTTATGAACATAATATAAATGCTACGTTTGTCCTAATAGCTGCATTCGGAACCCCATCTATTTATACTTAACTAGGGGCCAAGTGCACAAATTCATGCACCTTGAAAGGCTATGGTGGGCACAGGGACGGTCTGTGCCTCTGCCTGGCCCCTCCCACCACTGCCCCCCGTCCCTTATCTGCTGGCAGCCCCAATCCCGCCACCGCTGCTCCCACACACTGATGTTGCCAATCCCGCTCGCACCCGCTGATAGCTGGCACCAGCAGCAGGTGCAAGTGGTGGCTGCTGCCCCAATTGCCCCTCAGGAGCAAGGGAGGAGGAGAAGCCCTCAGGGGCAATTGGGGCCAGTGCCTGGCGCTAGGTGCAAGTGGCAGCTCCGGTGCCAGCAGCGGGTAGAGCAGGGCCGGCAGCAGGTGCAAGTGCCGGGCAGGACTGCAGCGCACGGGAGCAAAGAATTTTCAGTAACCACCAGAGGCTTGCCCTGATGACAGCGACTGGCGCCCCCCTCCCCCCCGCCCCGCCTATTAGCCTTTTATTATATAGGATAGTACTTAATAGTACATAATGGTACTCACAATGTTGTTGAGGGGCTTGAGGTAAACCATTTGTGTATCTGCCTCATCTTTAAGCACTGCTTGGACACTTATGTACTAGACACAGTGCTATGTTGTGTAGACAATTAGACTATTTCAATTCTCACAACAACCTCATCAGAAAAATTCTGTCACTGCCATAGGAACTTGAG